GGTGGCATGCACCTGTAGTCCTAGCTACTCAGGAGGCTGAGGCAGGAGAATACCTTGAACCCAGGAGGTAGAGGCTGCAGTGAGCTGAGATCGCACCTCTGCACTCCAGCCTGGGCAATAGAGTGAGACTCTGTCTCAAAAAGAATAAAAGAAGTTATATGGGAATATTTGACTTTTAAGGGGTCAGCACCCCATAACCCCGATGTTGTTCGAGAGTTAACTGTATATCTTCAGGGCTCTAGAATATGTTTTTCTCTCTGTAAGATTATTTTCTGGGCGTGGTGGCTCACGCCTGTAATCCCAGCACTTTGGGAGGCCAAGGCGGAAGGATCACTTGAGCTCGGGAGTTTGAGACCAGCCTGGGCAACATGGTGAAACCCCATCTCTACAAAAAATACAAAAATTAGCAGGACCTGGTGGTGTGCACCTGTAGTCCCAGCTACTTGGGAAGATGAGGTGGGAAGATTGCTTGAGCCTGAGGAAGTTGAGGCTGCGGTGAACCGTGATTTCACCACTGCACTCCAGCCTGTACCACAGAGCAAGACTCTGTCTCAAAAAAAAAAAAAAAAAATTTCCCTTCCAAATTAAATTTATTGTAGGTTAATATTAAGCTAGATTGCATTCTCTTCCTAGTGATGGGGGAAGTGAGTCCAAAATGCACTGGGGACAAGAAATAAAATAGAAATGGGACTTAACATTTTCTAAAGATAACATGAAATTGGCCTCAGGCTGACTGGTAGATCAGGGGATGTAGCCACTAAGCAAAAGCTATTTTCCGAAACTATGTCATTGGTCAGGAGGGAATTCAAATCAGTGTTGCAAAGATCTCAAGCACTTGATTAATTGCAACTGGTCCAATAACACATCTTCCAGTGGAAGAATTCAAAAAGCAGGAAATGGACTGGGCACGGTGGCCCACGCCTGTAATCCCAACACTTTGGGAGGCCGAGGTGGACGGATCATTTAAGGTCAGGAGTTCGAGACCAGTCTGGCCAACATGGTGAAACCCCGTCTCTACTAAAAGTACAAAAATTAGCCGGGCATGCTGGTGCATGCCTGTCGTCCCAGCTACTCTGGAGGCTGAGGCACGAGAATTGCTTGAACTCAGGAGGCGGAAGTTGCAGTGAGCCAAGATCATACCACTGCACTCCAGCCTGGGTGACAGAGCAAGACTCTGTCTCAAAAAATAAATAAAGCAAAAAAAAAAAAAAAAGTGGGAAATTATTTGATATTAGAATCAACACACAGATCCATGTATAACACAAACTGATTTCTTTCTTGCTTTTTTTTTTTTTTTGAGATAGGGTCTCGCTCTGTTGCCCAAGCTAGAGTGCAGCAGAGTGATCACAGCTCACAGCAGCCTTGACCTCCTGGGCTTAAGTGATTCTCCCACCTCAGCCTCCCTAATAGCTGGGACTACAGGCACTCACCACCATGCCTAGTTTATTTTTTTATTCTTTTTGTACAGACGGGGTCTCTCAATGTTGCCCAGGCTAGTCTCAACCTCTTGGGCTCAAGTGATCTGCCTGCTTCAGCCTTCCAAAGTACAGGGATTACAGGCAGGATCCATGGCACCTGGCCCCAATTTCTCTTGCAATCAATTTAAATTTCCTGACAGACATTTAATTGCTATACAAATAAGCTTTCTCCCAAGGCTATCATTTGAATTTATACCCACAGCAAAGGAATTTTTTTCTCTTCAATTTCAGAGCTTGAATTGAGGTAGTATGCCTAAATCTAGAAATACCTCTTCTTCCACTTAGCCCCCTAACTATACACTCTTTTTAAATTTATTATTTTAAAAATTATTGGCCGGGCGCGGTGGCTCAATCCCAGCACTTTGGGAGGCCAAGACGGGCGGATCACGAGGTCAGAAGATCGAGACCATCCTGGCGAACATGGTGAAACCCCGTCTCTACTAA